CGTCAGACCTATATGTTCATGGTAAATGTAGATATGATGTTGTGGGACTGGTACGTCAGACCTATATGTTCATGGTAAATGTAGATATGATGTTGTGGGAATGGTACGTCAGGCCTATATGTTCATGGTAAATGTATGATGTTGTGGGACTGTTATGACCTATATTGTGGGACTGGTACGTCAGGCCTATATGTTCATGGTAAATGTAGGCATGTTATTATGGTACTGGTAACGTCAGGCCTATATGTCCATGGTAATGTAGGTATGATGTTGTGGGACTGGTACGTCAGGCCTATATGTTCATGGTAATGTAGGTATGATGTTGTGGGACTGGTACGTCAGACCTATATGTTCATGATGATGTAGGTATATTGTTTCAGGATTGGTACTTCAGGCCTATATGTTCTTCATGATAATGTAGGCATGTTATTGTGGGACTGGTACGTCAAACCTATATGTTCATGGTAATGTAGGCATGTTATTGTGGGACTGGCACGTCAGACCTATATGTTCATGGTAATGTAGGCATATTATTGTGGGAATGGTACGTCAGACCTATATGTTCATGGTAAAATGTAGGTATGATGTTGTGGGACTGGTACGTCAGGCCTATATGTTCATGGTAAATGTAGGCATGTTATTATGGTACTGGTTCGTCAGACCTATATGTTCATGTAAATGTAGATATGATGTTTTGGGACTGGTACGTCAGGCCTTTATGTTCATGGTAAATGTAGATATGATGTTGTGGGACTGGTACGTCAGGCCTATATGTTCATGGTAAATGTAGGCATGTTATTATGGTACTGGTACGTCAGACCTATATGTTCATGGTAATGTAGGCATGTTGCTATGGTACTGGTACGTCAGACCTATATGTTCATGGTATATGTAGATATGATGTTGTGGGAATGGTACGTCAGGCCTATATGTTCACTGGTACGTCAGACCTATACGTTCATAAGTAAATGTAGATATGATGTTGTGGGACTGGTACGTCAGGCCTATATGTTCATGGTAAATGTAGGCATGTTATTATGGGAATGGTACGTCAGACCTATATGTTCATGGTAAATGTAGATATGATGTTGTGGGACTGGTACGTCAGACCTATATGTTCATGGTAAATGTAGATATGATGTTTGTGGGACTGGTACGTCAGGCCTATATGTTCATAGTAAATGTAGGCATGTTATTATGACTGGTACGTCAGACCTATATGTTCATGGTAATGTAGGCATGTTGCTATGGTACTGGTACGTCAGGACCTATATGTTCATGGTATATGTAGATATGATGTTGTGGGACTGGTACGTCAGGCCTATATGTTCATAAATGATAAATGGTATATTGTCAGGCCTATATGTTAGGATGTAGGTACATTCAGGCCAGACCTATATGTTCATAGTAAATGTAGGCATGTTATTGTGGGACTGGTACGTCAGACCTATATGTTCATGGTAAATGTAGGCATGTTATTGTGGGACTGGCACGTCAGACCCTATATGTTCATGGTAAATGTAGATATGATATTGTGGAACTGGTACGTCAGACCCTATATGTTCATGGTGGTATTGTGGGAATGTCAGACCTATATGTTCATGTAATGTTGTATGATGTTGTGGGACTGGTACGTCAGGCCTATATGTTCATGGTAATGTAGGCATGTTATTGTGGGCCTGTTACGTCAGGCCTATATGTTCATGGTAATGTAGGCATGTTATTATGGTACTGGTACGTCAGGCCTATATGTCCACTGGTACGTCAGGCCTATATGGTATAGGTATGTAGGTATGATGTTGTGGGACTGGTACGTCAGGCCTATATGTTCATGGTAATGTAGGTATGATGTTGTGGGACTGGTACGTCAGACCTATATGTTCATGATGATGTAGGTATATTGTTTCAGGATTGGTACTTCAGGCCTATATGTTCATGATAATGTAGGCATGTTATTGTGGGACTGGTACGTCAAACCTATATGTTCATGGTAATGTAGGCATGTTATTGTGGGACTGGCACGTCAGACCTATATGTTCATGGTAATGTAGGCATGTTATTGTGGGAATGGTACGTCAGACCTATATGTTCATGGTAAATGTAGATATGATGTTGTGGGACTGGTACGTCAGGCCTATATGTTCATGGTAAATGTAGGCATGTTATTATGGTACTGGTTCGTCAGACCTATATGTTCATGGTAAATGTAGATATGATGTTTTGGGACTGGTACGTCAGGCCTTTATGTTCATGGTAAATGTAGATATGATGTTGTGGGACTGGTACGTCAGGCCTATATGTTCATGGTAAATGTAGGCATGTTATTATGGTACTGGTACGTCAGACCTATATGTTCATGGTAATGTAGGCATGTTGCTATGGTACTGGAACGTCAGACCTATATGTTCATGGTATATGTAGATATGATGTTGTGGGAATGGTACGTCAGGCCTATATGTTCATGGTAAATGTAGGCATGTTATTATGGTACTGGTACGTCAGACCTATATGTTCATGGTAAATGTAGATATGATGTTGTGGGACTGGAACGTCAGGCCTATATGTTCATGGTAAATGTAGGCATGTTATTGTGGGAATGGTACGTCAGACCTATATGTTCATGGTAAATGTAGATATGATGTTGTGGGACTGGTACGTCAGACCTATATGTTCATGGTAAATGTAGATATGATGTTGTGGGACTGGTACGTCAGGCCTATATGTTCATGGTAAATGTAGGCATGTTATTGTGGGAATGGTACGTCAGACCTATATGTTCATTGTAATGTAGGCATGTTATTGTGGGACTGGTACGTCAGGCCTATATGTTCATGGTAAATGTAGATATGATGTTGTGGGAATGGTACGTCAGGCCTATATGTTCATGGTAAATGTAGGCATGTTATTCTGGTACTGGTACGTCAGACCTATATGTTCATGGTAAATGTAGATATGATGTTGTGGGACTGGAACGTCAGGCCTATATGTTCATGGTAAATGTAGGCATGTTATTGTGGGAATGGTACGTCAGACCTATATGTTCATGGTAAATGTAGATATGATGTTGTGGGACTGGTACGTCAGGCCTATATGTTCATGGTAAATGTAGATATGATGTTGTGGGACTGGTACGTCATGCCTATATGTTCATGGTAAATGTAGGCATGTTATTATGGTACTGGTACGTCAGACCTATATGTTCATGGTAAATGTAGGCATGTTATTATGGTACTGGTACGTCAGACCTATATGTTCATTGTAATGTAGGCATGTTATTGTGGGACTGGTACGTCAGGCCTATATGTTCATGGTAAATGTAGATATGATGTTGTGGGACTGGTACGTCAGGCCTATATATTCATGGTAAATGTCGGCATGTTATTGTGGGACTGGTATGTCAGGCCTATATGTTCATGGTAATGTAGGCATGTTATTATGGGACTGGTACGTCAGGCCTTTATGTTCATGGTAATGTAGGCATGTTATTATGGGACTGGTACGTCAGCCCTATATGTTCATGTTAATGTAGGCATGTTATTATGGTACTGGTAAGTCAGGCCTATATATTCATGGTAATGTAGGCATGTTATTATGGTACTGGTACGTCAGACCTATATGTTCATGGTAATGTAGGCATGTTATTATGGGACTGGTACGTCAGGCCTATATGTTCATGGTAAATGTAGGTATGATGTTGTGGGACATTTACAAGAATCGAAGGGGGTGCCGCACAAGGTCATGCCATTTAAAAGTGCTTTTTATCACACGAAAGCCGGAAGACCCTTAAGAATAAACGGTGTCTTTTACCAAGTTAAAATATATGTAGTCCATGTGTACGTGCTTGTCAGATCCTCTGCCTCTCACTGCCCAATGAATGTCACTATGACCCAGTAAATTAGCCCAAGATACCACATCCTTCCATTGCCGTGAGCCTTGTAAATGATAACCTTACAACAAATATAAATACACCATGGCGTATATTTCTGTCTCAGTCTGAATGGCAAAAATCAGCCACGGGTGTATTTGTTATTTATCTTTCTCCAGAAAGCATCTCTTTCAGACTTAACCCCAAGTTCTTCAGCTCTTTGCTTTTGTCGTAACTGGCATTTCTGCTGTTGCACGGCCCTAATTCCGGCAAGAGAATGTCGTAAAAATGTCGCTAATATGAATTGCTACCGACTGTTCCTGGATGTGACAGTATAACAAATTGACATGCTAGCAGGTTTCAGGAAGGAATTTCACGTCACTTTCCAGGAGATGTACCTGGAATTCAAGGCAATACCCCTCTACATGTTGCTGATAGACTTGACAAGGACTTTTTTTATCTTCTTCCTTTTCAAGTGAAACGTTGGGTAGTAACAAGATGATATTCATGCTGCCGAAAAGCGTGTATTTACGAACTGGCCGGCTGAATGTATATCGCTGTCACTGATGTCATGTTGTAGTTTGTCTGCCTTCAGGTGTTCCTTGAACTTTAACTGCTTTCACTCGATTGTTGTTCGTCCATAACGACCACGAATACCCATTACTTTCTGTAAACATAAGCCAAATAACATAAGCCTAACTTAAATACATTAGGCTACTTTGGATAGTGATTATGTTAGCGTGAAAGGTTATTGCCAACGAAAGCATAAAGTTTTCGGTGTTCATAGCGGTGGTCCCCATTGTGAGGTAATGGAATTACTTTCACTCACTAACCCAACAAATATACACCCCCACACATACTAACTCACTCACTCACTCACACATACACTCACTCACACATACACTCTCTCACACACACTCACTAACTCACTCTCACACACTCACACATACACACTCTCTCTCACACACTCACTCACTCACACTCACTACACACTCACTCACACTCACACACACTCTCACACACACACACACACACACACACACACACACACACACACACACTTTTGATCTTTAACCATGGTGTGTGGTGATCCTATAATAATACTCAACTCACAAGCAAGTCTGACCAAGTTTCTGTTTATTTCCAGGGAGTCCACCTACAACCTGTGCCTTTAAGTGAATTAAAAAGACAATTACAGCATACAAAAAATTACTATGACTTTTTACGAATATTCCTGAATAAGAAAGATTTATCGAATGAATTGATAGACGAAATAGTGAACGCCAGGACTATACAGAAATTCTTAGGAGCGGAGAAGAAGAGTAGAGATTACAGCGAGGACTATGATGATGAGGAATGGGTTGTGGATGAAGAGGACATGCACATGGATGAAGAGCAGGATCGCCTGGATGAAGGTACACACTAACTAGAGTCAGATAGGATGGCATAGAACGTTGTTGTTGGAGGGGATGTTTGCTCGTCTTGGGAGGAGCATGATGAATTGGAACTTTGAAGGAAATATTCTTTAAATGTGGTCCTTTTTGCTTTACCTGTTCATATTTGTTCTTTGCATCGAACGATGCTCGTGATGTTGATCACTGGATTGTCTGGTCCAGACTTGATTATTTACAGACCGCCGCCATATAGCTGGAATATTGCTGAGTGCGGTGTAAAACTAAACTCACTCATATTTTGTGTTGATTGTCGAGTGTCCGTTATACTGAGTATTACTGTATGCCAATCTGCAAATCCTGGTTTAGTGGTAGCTAAAAAGTACGTACTCCATCGTCGCACATGTCCTGACATCCATTGATCTTATCTCCCACTTTTCCCAAGAAACCCATGCTTGTCGTAAGAGGCAACTAACGGGATCGGGTGGTCAGGCTCGCTGACTTTCACATGTCATCATCCAAATTTCATAGATCCATATAGCTTGGATTATTGTTAAACCAACCATCTAACCAATCCAAGAAACCAGGTGTATAAGTATGTAGGTACCACTTCCGTGGCCTAATGGATAGGGTGTCTGCCCGGAGAGTGGAAATCGGTTGTTCGAACCCCTGGTCGAGTTAAAAAGCTGATTCTCGTTGCTTGATTTTCAATTAAAGAATAAAATAAGAGCTTGTCACCTGGGAGTACGTATAGGATTATATTTCGTCATTCCAGAACTTTCGGACGCGATGTATCATATTGACGAAATGGCCAACAGTCCTCTTGGTGAGTGTAAGACGCCGCAGCCAGAGATTGTCAACGTCATAGACGAAGAAAACCGACACCGTGTCTACTTCCCACAATGCACTGTCGTACACCGCTGCAAGAACGTATCCGGGTGTTGTGGCGCGACGAACAGGGAATGTGGGCCTATCACCATAGAAGTCATCGAAAAATCCTTCATTGTAAGTCAGAACACCTTCTGTAAAACTATCCTGTTCCTCTCCAAGGGACACCGGGTGGCGAATTTGTCTATTTTGCGTACCAGAAACGACCCGGGGTTAGAATTGATCTTCAGTAACCCATGCTTGTCGTAAGAGACGATTAATGGTATCTTGTGGTCAGACTCGCTGACTTGGTTGACACATGTCATCGTATCCCAATTGCGTAGATCAATGCTCATGCTGTTGATCACTGGATTGTCTGGTCCAGAATTTATTGTTTACAGACCGCCGTCATATAGCTGGACTTTTGCTGAGTGCGGCGTAAAACAACCAACAAACATACCAGAAACCTTTGGTTGTTGGTTCGAATCCAAGAATCAAGCTAGTTATGCTTCTAGAGCTTTCACCAGATTGGTAAAGTCTAAGACCTGTTTGGCCTTTCCAATTCGCATCTGTCGATGCAAACACCAGCTGGTACTGTTCCCTACGTACAGTGAAGGGTTGTTTACTATTTTTAATTTACGACCGCTGTGTAAAGTTGGCCCTTAACTGTACCGATGGGTCTAGAAATACCGGCTTAACCAACAGAATAACATCTGTAGCTGATGGTATTTTAGGCGAAGTCAAATGAATACCATTTTGATTGAATTGTGTTTCTATGTTGCGGTATTAATATAGATTTCAGTTTGACAAGTGTACCCGTGAATTGCAAGAGAAATTATCATAATATCCAGTTGAAAGTTTATATGATCAAATTATACTCCCTGTTACTGAATTAATGGCATGTTATGATTTTTCTTAACGACAGGTCGTGCAGCTAATTGGAGACAATACCCTTCCAGACAAAAATATGGTCGAGAAAAAGAGATTTATCAACCATACAGAATGCGCCTGTAAGGAAAAACAAGGTCTACCCAAGTACGTATCAGTCTACTCGATGTAGTGACAGAATGGTGGTTAGGTTCGGTGAATTGGTTGATTGTATGTCACCGCACCCTAACTGCGTTGGTCGGTGTTCATAACATCAACCACTTGATTGTCAGGCTGGTGAAATCATCTACATGTCACCGTCGCATGAATAGGACATGCCTACTGGGTGAGTGAGTTTAGTTTTACGCAGCTTTTAGCAATATTCCAGCAATATCATTTCGGGGGACACCAGAAATGGGCTTCACCCATTGTAATCGCATAATCATGTTTTCTCTGTTCAAGTGGGGCGGTGAGGTAGCCTAGGGTTAAAGTGTTCGCTCGTCATGCCGAAAACTCGGGTTCGATTCCCCACATGGGTACAATGTGTGAAGCCCATTTCTGGTGTCCCCCATCGTGATATCGCTGGAATATTGCTAAAAGCGGCGTAAACCCCAACTCACTCACTGACTCACTCACTCACTCTGTGCCCAAGTCTATCTTGAGACATATCTAAGGAGTTTCGAACCCGAATAACGGCATTGTTATGGATCTTTATTCATGTCTAAATGCACAGAACATAATAATTTGTAAACCAAATATTACAAAAATAAAATTAATCTTTAACATTGTTTCAGTATCTTTGAATGAGACCATCAATAGAACAGATCTACGTAATATATAGGGGCGGTGGGGTAGCCTAGTGGGCTCGTCACGCAGAAGACCCGGGTTCGATTCCCCACATGGCTACAATGTCTGAAGCCCATTTGTGGTGTCCCCCGCCGTGATATTGCTGGAATATTGCTACAAGCGCCGAAAACCAAACTCACTCACTCACTCATTACATAATATATATATTTCATATTCATATTTCAGTTGTGACAGATACAAGTGTCCATTTCCTTTCATGATGATGCGCAAAGGGGTTCAGTGCGCATGTGACTGTGAACAGTCAGCTGATGAAAACAACTACGTATGTCAGAGTGTCAAAGATGGTTTCATACCGCTACAAGAAAGAGACTTAGCGTAAGCATCTTAAGGAATTAAAAGACATCAATTTCTTTTTAAAGTGGTATTTGAGTAAATATTAGTCACCGGGAGCCATTGGTGTCAGAATCGAAACGTTAAATGAGTCAGTTAGGTAAATATTGATATCCAAATTATCAAAAATAATTGTTGCTTAACAAAGTCTACTAAAAGTATATTTCACGTATACCATGTATGTATCTTTTTAGTTAAAAGTGAAAAATGATTGTTTCATACCGATACAAGAAAGATCTCCTTGATAACAGCCGATCCAAAAGAAACTTTTATATCTCTGCTAAAGACCCATCTATTCACTGGTGCCTTTCTGTAAAGTTATGTGAACTATTTCCTTCCCCGATATTGTCCCAGCGCCACTGAGCATCTCTATGGTGGATATTAGGCTCTTTATAAATACATTATTATTTATTATTATTATTATATCCAGGACTAAATTGGGCGATCGATCTTTATGGGTGAAGTCCCCACTCTCACGAACAAAGTTCCTCTTATATAAAGTCTGCACCTTCTGTACAGGCTTTCCGCCGCCACCTTGAAACGCATCTAGTTTCCTCAGAATGGTGTGTTCTGGTACAAGAACCTGACATTACAAGACTATGTGAAGCGCCTGTGAGCAGCCTAGCTGTAACTCGGCGCTATATAAATAGATTATGATTATTTAGAGAAATACTATACCTTATTAAAAAAATGTTTTGTGTTCTTACACAAAAACTAATGGCAAAATTTATTTTCAGGTGCATTAAGGCGAAAACGTGTCTAAAACCAGTTTGCACACATGGTACATTACATGTGCAGTCAGGTCACTGTCCGTCGATTCAAAATGATGGCCTTGGATCTCCATTCGATGTTCCGATAGAGCGACGGACGGATCGACATGTTCGACACTTACGACACAAGAAAGGGAGAAACAAGGACAAAAGACTTAGGAAAGGTCAAGAAAAAGCTGGGAAATAGTCATACTGTGTTGTCATGGTAATCTGTAACCATGGAAACAATCTCTACCTCTCCCTCCACCCTGGACCTTATACGTATTCAGCGACACGTAACCGACGTGACCTTCACCCTGAATTGTCACGTGACAGGAAACAAGTGCAGAGATATATGTATCATAGATTTATATGACGTCATCGCACGCCAAACATAACGTGCACTCTCCCAAGCTCCATACACCAACTTATCTATACAGTACACAAGACAAAGGGAGGCATCTGTATATACGTGTATATGAAATCTGCTGTATAAAGAAGAGCTGTGACGAATTCAGGACAATGTGAATGACTCGCCAGATTGTCGTACAGGAAGATTACCTTGGATTTCAAATGCAATTTTCGTTCTTACACATCTGCAAATGCTGCTGCGTTAACGTTATAAATGTCATTTCATGGAAGTGCCATACAACACTGTCAACTGTGATGACGGTCATACATCGAAATATACTCTCCACAATAAGAAACGCATAGGTGGTGCCACTATTTTCAAAAGTACATTTCGTGGATAGATAATAGCCCTGTTGCACAGCAACAGAAACATTCTTTTAGAGTTCGTTTCAACTGATCAGAGCCACAAAATGGTCTCAATGAAGTTGATAGAGGTTAATATCGACGAACTTTAACATTTGTACGTAATCTTGGGAAACTGAAATAAAAGCAGTTTTCACCTGTAAATCATGCATTTGGGCAATTGTTTTCGCAAATATGCTAACGAAACTATTTTGAAAACTGGTCATGACAAGGCTCAGTTTTAAAGCGAGAAAGAACGCTAATGCTTGACTTCAAGCAGGTAAATGAAAAGCGCCACTCGCAATTTCAAATTCTTTGGCAAACGTCTACGTCTAATGCCTGCAAAGACTGTCCGTAACGTTGTCGGGCTGCTGTAATCAAGACGTTATTTCACCTCACAAATGGGGTAACCTCAAGTCACTCAAATCTGAATGATAGAACGCGTTGTTCTTGCAACCGATTAAACACAGCGTACCCCTTCAGACATTTTGCAGAATTCACAAAATGAAACTCTTGAAAACCACATATGCGTTTCTTTTTAAGCGTGAGTATTCGTAGGACATTAAAATGGCGCCGTTACGATGACGATGGTGTCTGTGATGTATAGATATTATATTTATTGAATATATTTTCTCAGTTTAACGATGGAGAGCGTATGAATGTTGAGTGATGTGTGAAATTAACCGCAACAGGAGCGACAACATGACACCGGAACAGCAGCATTCTGGTCTATTGCATTTATGAACATTTTATGTGGTGCTGATATTCTTGTAAACTTATTCTTGTTGTTGTCAATAAAATAAAATTAATCCTAACAAAATAGTACAAAGCTTGTTTACTCTCCCAGAAGTTTCAACTTGGACAATGTACAGAGTTACCATGTGACATTACAGAAAATGGGGATATGTGTTCCTGTGTACGAAGGAGGATGGAGTGTGCGTGCGTGCGTGCGTGCGTGCGTGCGTGCGTGTGCGTGTGTGTGTGTGTGTGTGTGTTTGTGTGTGTGTCGCAGAGTGAGCATTTAAACACACGGACATTCATAGCCACACAAATTACAACTTTTCGTATTCACTTGCTGGTATTTCCACCGACTACCAAAAAGCAGTTGCAGGGCGTAGGATTTAAATCATGGCCCTACAATGTTTACATCAAACAATGGTTTGGTTTGCGAGATGCGTCCAGTGGTGGATAATGAGCAACGTTGCTATGAGAGGTTACTTGGACGAATGGCCAATACAGAAGCACAAGTCTCCATGTGCGAGTGACCTTTCCGAGTGAGTGCGTGAGTTTAGTTTTACGCCGCACTCAGCAATAGTCCAGCTATATGGTGGCAGTCTGTAAATAATCGGATCTGGACCAGACAATTCAGTGATCAATAGCATGAACATCAATCTATGCAACTGGGATACGATGACATGTGTCAACCCAGTCAGCGAGCCTGACCACCCGATCCCGTTAGTCGCCTCTTACGACAAGCATGGGTTACTGAAGATCAATTCTACCCGGATCTTCACGGGTAGAGTTTTTCGAAATATACCTCTGTTCACCCAGCAGTGAATGGGTTCCCGGTAGGATTAGATAGCGATGCATACTCCACAGGGAGCTGATAATGAAAGTCGAGTGTACACTGTTGGATCCATTTACATCTTCAAACATACACTGAGGTTATGAGGTTGAGCAAGTAGACTATCCCATCGTCATCATCATCTTCATTTTTTGTTTGTCTTTTGTTGTTGCTTTTTCGAAATGAGATGGGCCGATGGGGGAACCTAGTGGTTAAAGCGTTCGCTCGTCACGCCGAAGACCCGGGTTCGATTCCCCACATGGGTACAATATATCAAGCTCATCACTGGTGTCCCCCGTCTTGATATTACTTGAATATTGCTAAAAGAGGCGTAAAACCATACTCACTCATACCCACTCGAGATGAGATGACTAAAAACCTGCCTGGACGGTCCCTTCTCGTACATCACTTGCATGTACGTTTACTTAAAAAGCACTCTGTGCATTCTAAAAAGAAAAGTATTCACATGAATCGTCGAGTCGCACCCGTCACGACCACAGCAGTGTCAGATTTCTAACTCTCTGCAAGGTGAGATCCAGGCATCAACGTGCAGATAATATCAGAACACATTTTCTCCGTCATTTGCAATGAGAAGAGATAATTAATTTTTTATGTGTTTCCCTATCTTTCTGTGCCGCGAGGTTATCAGGGGAGATAACTTGGTATCGCCATATTATCTGAAATGCGCAGTGTCAAACGAAACACGCGTTGCTGGATGGGTTATTTCTATAAATCATATTGAGCTTGGAGTAAGGCCGGTAGTAGGTCGGGCGCTGACTGTACGTCGGGACAGAACAGGTGGCGGCACTTCACGTCTTCCTGTTGACAACTGCTGGTTGCACTCCGATCTTCTCGGTTTATTCCGTTATGGACATGTCGGTCAGATTGGTGTAGTGATTTTACACGATTGGGCTGTAATCTGTCATATCACGAGGGTCGAGTTGTAACATAAAGATGTACTTTGGTTAAAGTAATTACGAAGTAAGATATTGTAATTAAGAAAAATTAGATCTATAAGTTTTAAATCAAATTATATTAAAAAATCGTAAAGTTTTCAACTTCTGTCAGATTGCTTTCATATTATGTGACTTAAGGCAGTGAGTGAGTATGGTTTTACGCCGCTTTTAGCGATATTCCAGGGGAAACCAGAAATGGGCTTCACACATACTACCCACCGCCCTACATATGACAGTGACGTGGACACATTTAGCATTTAAGCTTGTGAGATATGGGTAAGCCGAGGACTGGTGGTTGATGTAGAAATGGTGACTACTATACAAAACCGAACATCGGAATCTTTACATAAATCCGGGCAGTTTACGTTTTCTTGTGTTGCACGTGTATTTCACTGACAGCAAAAAGGGATCTGTCACACGTCCTTTTCCATTTCAATACAATCGTATCCGGAAGTAGGCCTATATATTTGCATACGTTCGGACGAACGGGTAATTAAGCTAGATATGACGTCAGAAGGTGTAAACATTGTCTGATATTTGTGTTTTGGTTGGATTTCATTAGTTGACTGAGACGAAACGTTTTGATTTTAGGTACAAACCGGTTACAAAGGATCGTCCTTTTTGGCTATTTCCTGGAGGGGAGGTAACTCGTGATTTTGTATCCTATTGTTTGGAATAGACTAAGTTTACAAGTACATGTACATATGTACTGAAGTTGAGACCTATTTGCTTCTGTGATAGGGTGTACTTCTTGAACAACATATTTGCGATTTTGGCGAGAACAGGACAGCTGAATATTTGTTTACTCCTCAGTATTTTTACAGAAATACTATCATGCTGGCTACCTGTACATAATGAAGTTTGCATCAGACAAACCATTGATTTTAAGCACATATAGCAATCATCAAGAAACCATCTCAAGTAGCACGGTGAATGGATGAATATTGCTTTATGCCGCATTAGCCATTGAGGTTGCTGATGCTGCTGAAACCATGATGATTGGAGTGTGTGAGTGAGTTTAGTTTTACGCCGCACTCAGCAATATTCCAGCTTTATGGCAGCGGTCGGTAAATAATCGAGTCTGGACCAGACAATCCAGTGATCAACAGCATGAGCATCGATCTGCGCAATTGGGAACCGATGACATGTGTCAACCAAGCCAGCGAGAATGATCCCGTTAGTCGCCTCTTACGACAAGCATGGGTTACTGAAGGTTCATTCTAACCCGGACCTTCACGGGTCGATGATAATTGGAGGGATTGTGATGGTGTTGATAATTAATGATGCTGCTGAAGATATAGTGATGTTGAAAACGGATATTTACTGTTAAAAAGGGCGGCAGTAGATAGAAATAATGATGGCAGCTATTAACCGTTGGTATAAACCGTTCAGAAAGTGTATTTAATGAACACAGTGTCGAAGACAAACATGTTGTTGTGTTAGCTTCGTCTTGCCACTCCTGCTTAATACGAAGTGCTGGGCTGTCACGAGTGTTAAGTTCCCTCGGAAACATCCACTTGGCAAAGTGAAGTTTCTGTAAAGTAGCAGTCAATACTGAACGTGTTCTTGAAAAACATACTCTGGAAAACATTTCAAGATGGTGCATTGCCGTTTTAAGACGTTGTGTCATTTTACAATGATTCGGTTACAAGTATGCGCTAATTCCCCAAATAGCCATATAATGGAGTAGCCATATAGCCTCAGGCGATACAGAACATTTTGACTGATTGAGGCCGTTGGTATCTGGCTAGCCTTGCTCCAAGGCTATACTGAATGCTGAGCAGATGGATGGACGGTAATTATATCCATCCTTCGAAGAGGCAAGTCTAGATAAGCGGACAGTACAGTCTAGCGACCCCAGTCTGTTTTTATTATATTTTAGAAATTATCATTTAAACTATTACTGGCAAACAAGGATAAGTTGAGCACCGACCTGACAATTGACCCGGTCCAACTTATCTTTGTTTTCTGTAAAATAATAAGAAGAGGATGCTCCGTTCAACAGCCATTTATTCCGGTAGCCATCTTGTATACCCGACATCGGTGCTCCTTAAAATATGTTCCCATGTAATTAGGTCCGTAGCCGGTGTTACCAAAGATAGTTACTCATATCTTTACATCTCCCCCTTTTACTATTTTTTTTAACACAATCCAACCAAAACAATAGCATCTTACAGCAGAATGATAGCCCTTCACTCTTATATAAAATAAGATATTTCTCATTCACTCATGAGCATAAAACTCTGATATAACACTGCAACAACGCAATTTAAGTCATTGCTTCGATCAACTCGAACAGTCATAATCTCAAAGATCATATCTGCACGGAGGTTTAACCACTCGTCCACTGCTGGTGGTTTTCACAGTAGTTTGCTCCTCGATGTTCATGTCCATCTCAGTCTTTAGTGGAGTTTTAGGGGTTAGCTCCACATGTTGCTTCAAAGGAGTTTTGGGTGGAGTAGATTTACACTTCTTTGGAGACAAAGGTATCCCAGCTGCTAAACTGAATGGTTTAAGTCAATTCTATTTCGTCTCAGTTCATTGCCTCCAGGCATGCCGATCTTGTATGATCTCGGCTGATCAAGCTTCTCCTTCACAGTAGCTGGAGTCCATGTTCCGGATTTAGGTAGGAATACAGATACATCCTGCCCAGGTTCAAGTTGTTTCTTCACCACACACTTCTTGTCGTACTGCTGTTTCATATGATCTTGTCTATGTTGTAGCTGCTCTACGTTGTTGTCATCAGACTGTAGTCTCTGTAGTTTTCCGCTGCAAGGTAGTTGTGTTCTATACTTCCTGTTGTTCAGACACTGCGCTGGAGATGGAAGTTTGCCGTCAACTGGAGTCGTTCTGTAGGATAGCATCGCTAGATATGGATCTTCCCCGGATGCATCAGCTTTCTTCAGAGTGTTCTTCACAGTTTGCACCATGCGCTCTATGTGTCCGTTGCTCTGTGCATACGTTGGTGAGCTCGTCACATGTTTGACTCCCCACTGCGTGAACAAGGTTGCGAACTCCCTACAACTGAACTGTGGACCATTGTCAGTAATAAGGATTTCAGGAATCCCATATTCAGCGAACACAGACTTCATGTGCTGAATTACTATTGTTGCCGTTGTAGAATCTAGCTTTCTGCAGACAGGAAATTTGCTGTAATAGTCCGATATCAGCAGATATTGGTGATGCTTGTAGTCGAATAGATCTGCGCCGATTTTCTGCCATGGGTAGCTAGGAACATTGTGAGGATGTAGTGGTTCTCTGATCTGCTTCTTTCCATACTGCTGACATGTCTCACACGTGTCAGTCAGTTCCTTGATATCACTGGATATCTTCGGCCAGAAGACTGAATCTTTGGCCTTCAACAAGCACTTTTCCGTTCCAAGGTGACCTTGGTGGATGAGTTTCAAGATCTGTCCTCTCAAGGTGCTCGGCATTAGGATCCTATGTCCCTTCAGAATAATGCCGTTCTCTACACTCAAGTCTTCTCTGTACGTCCAGAATTGCTTCAATTCCTCAGGACACTCACCGATGTACTCTGGCCATCCTCTGTGTATGACATCTTTCAGATGGCATAGTGTTTCATCTTTCTCTCGGTTTCAGCTCTGATCTCGTCAAGTTTTGCTGGTGATGCAGGAATGTTGCTGGTGATCGTGTTCACATCAATCACAGGTAAGTCATTTTCAGGAGATTCCATATTGATATGCGTGAAAGAGCGTCGGCCACAACGTTGCTTTTACCAGGGATGTATTTGACGTCAACGTCATACTTCGTCATTCTGAGCAGGAGTCTCTGCAGCCTTGGTGATGTGCTGTCGATACGCTTCTGCCAGATGCTTTGCAATGGTTTGTGGTCAGTCTCTACAGTAGCATGTTTCCCATATACATAATGGTTCAGTCTCTCCAATGACCATACAACACCAAGTAACTCTCTCTCGATGTTACTGTACCGCTGTTCAGTTTCACTTAGAGATCTGCTTGCATAACAAACAGGTTTTCCATCTTGAAGTAATACACAGCCAATGCCTTTCAAACTTGCATCAGTTTGAATTACGTTGTCCTTACTCTCGTCGTAGTAAGCCAGCACAGGAGAACGAGTGATGATCTCCTTTAGGCTATGGAATGAATTCTCATGCTCAGCATTCCATACAAATGCACTGTCCTTCTTCAATAACTGGCGGATCGGTTCTGATGCTTCAGCGATCGCAGGTGAAAAACGATTCAGGTAATTGATCATGCCCATGAATGTTCTTACGTCACTTGCATCTTTTGGCCTTTCCATCTCTCTGATCGCTTTAACTTTCTTTTCGTCCGGTTTGATACCCTCTGGTGTCCACTTTATACCAAAGAATCTTGCTTCTGGCGTTTTGAACTGAAATTTGTCTGCATTCAATTTCACATTCTTTTCCCGTGCTGTTTCAAGAGTTCTGATGACTGACTTGTCATGTTCCAATTCCGATGTGCCATAGATGAACGTATCATCAACAATTCCAGTCACTCCTTTCAGATGACCAAACACAGAGTCCATCTTCTCTTGGAATATGTCACCGCTGATAGACAACCCAAAAGGAAGCCTTGTCCATCTGTACTTTCCCCAGGGAGTTGAGAATGTGGTAAGCTTGCTGCTTTCGTCATCTAACATGACCTGCCAGAAACCATTTCGAGCATCAATAATGGAAAAGTGTGTAGCACCATTTATCTTGGGTAAGACATCGTCTACAGTTCGGACGTAGTATGGACATCGTTTCAGCGATCTATTAAGATCTCTCGGATCCAGGCAAATCCGCAATGAACCATTTGTGCGAGTTGTCAACACAGTAGAGTTGATCCAAGGAGTGTATTCATTCTCTACTTTACACAAGATGCCAAGGTGAACAGGAATTTGTCTCCTCGGTCGTCCCATCACCAGGTCTTGTAGCTGATCCTTGTATTGCTTCTGTAGGTGAACAGGAATTTGTCTCGCAGGGTGTTGCACAGGAATCGCCCCATCATCAACTTCTATATGGAATGGCTCTCCAGGAAAGCAACCGATGCCGGTGAATACATCTTTGTATTCTTTCAAAAGATAGTCTTTTGTCAAGGGAAATGGGTGCTTCCTACCATTCACATCAAACAGTTTCACAGTCTCTGATTTAGTGTTCTGGTCACATGATTCTTCAATCTTTGTGAAGTTCTTCACTTCTCGTGACTCTTCACTATTCACCATATTGACTGTTGGGAAATGAAGTTCAAGCAATCCTATCTTCTGTGCTGTAATACTTCCCATGATTACACCTTTCTCCACATCTGCAACCTGAACTGTCACTGCTTCTGGTTTCTCAGTACCAGGGATATGGAAATACACCATACACGATCCAAGGTTTGTGACTTTCGTGCCACCATAAGCTTTCATTTTCACTGAAGGTTCATCAAGCTCAAAGTCCTTTGGGAATATTTTCCTGAAGACTGACACAGGAATAATGTTGGTTTCTGCTCCAGAATCTATCTTACAGTCGCAATACATAACTGTTGTTCAAGACCTATAGTAAACTACACTTATATATGCAGGCTCTTGAAGGTAGGTTTTATTGAAATAACACATTCTATATATCAACGTGCTTTGTGTATTATACGGACCGGTGAAAAAAATTATCTTTGCCGGAATGTGTATCATTTCGAGGCAATTACACCAAAGCGGCATTGAGAGATCGCTGCCAAACTACCGAGAGCAGATATCGCATCAGCCAAATGTAAAAGTCAAGGTTAAATCTCGACCTTCGTGACATTCACAGCGCCCCCTTGAGTAATCTGAACGAACTGAAGCGATTAAAGATCATCGATGTTAACCTGGGCTCGCTCAGAACGCTTATCGGATTGCCAGCGAACGTGTGTGACGTGTGCGTGGTCCTCGTGCCGCACGTGCAAGGGAACGTTTGATTTGATCCTATGAAAAATGACCTTGGGGAGTTATGCCCCTTCGATTCAGGCACACCCCAGCTTTTAAAGCCTATAAATCAGCGTATCTCGGGTCGCCGCGTTGACCGAAAACCCCATCTATCTGAAACACAGTCAGATAAGCCTTAATTCGGTGAAAGTTTCAGATTTTCCTTTTTATATTCTTTCGACTTTTAAAGAGATTCGTTTAACAAAAATCCGTCCCATCATCAACTTTTATATGGAATGGCTCTCCAGGAAAGCAACCGATGCCGGTGAATACATCTTTGTATTCTTTGAAAATATAGTCTTTTGTCAAGGGAAATTGGTGCTTCCTACCATTCACATCAAACAGTTTCACAGTCTCTGATATAGTGTTTTGGTCACATGATTCTTCAATCTTTGTGAAGTTCTTCACTTCTCGTGACTCTTCACTATTCACCATATTGACTGTTAGGAAATAAAGTTCAAGCAATCCTATCTTCTGTGCTGTAATACTTCCCATGATTACACCTTTCTCCACATCTGCAACCTGAACTGTCACTGCTTCTGGTTTCTCAGTACCAGGGATATGAAAATACACCATACACGATCCAAGGTTTGTGACTTTCGTGCCACCATAAGCTTTCATTTTCACTGAAGGTTCATCAAGCTCTAAGGTCCTTTGGGAATATTATCATGAAGACTGACACAGGAATAATGTTGGTTTCTGCTCCAGAATCTATCTTACAGTCGCAATACATAACTGTTGTTCCCTTTCCTCGAGAAATACCCACTGTGAGAATAGCTTTGTCTTTGTCAGACTTGTGCACAGTATCCACCACACACACCATATCAACATCACTGACTGTATCAATACTGTCAACTGATATCTGTCCCAGATACCGACAAGAATCTTCATCATCAGACTGTCAACCTGAACTTCATGGGCTTTCTTCTTTATTTTCTGTGTACAAGCTCTAGAGTAATGTCCAACTTGTTTGCACAAATAACACTTTGATTTCTTTGCCGGGCATCCTGCACCATGAAAATGTTCTAAAAGACAGCTCTGACATTTATTTGTCTGTGCTTTAGATTATCTTTGTTCACAAAAGACTTCTTCCCAGTACCATGAGGTTTTCTCATCACAGGATTGACTTCAGCTTCTGATGATAATGTCATTCTTTTCATTTGTCTAGTGGCAGATTCTTCTGTTTCGGCTAATCTAATCACTTCATCAAGAGCTTCCTTAGACATTCCTTCCTGACCCTGTCTGAATTCATGCCAAACACAAGGTGATCTCTGACACCATGTAAAGTAATAAGAAGAAGATTTTCCAGTAATGTTTAGAGACTTGTGCAAGTCTAGTATTTGGCGAAACTGGAACTATCACGCCGCTTGTTGTAAATATGGCATGACTTTTGTTGAGAACTGGCTCTTATAAATGGCTCGTTAGCTGAGACAGGCCTTTTTTTTTAGGTGGATTGGATCTTAAAAAGCACGTTTTTCTCTTTGGACTAGTTATAGGAAATTATTATCGTTATTTACATTAAGCCTTTTCCGCCTGTCATCTTGGTATGGTACGATTTTTACTGTGTGGAAATTGTCAGATATCTGAAGTGTTTTTGTTGGGGCTCATTAGATTGAGACTGGTGAGCTATAGAGATTTTAGATCTTAGTTATAAAGGATCGTCTTTGGGGCTAGTTCCTGGAAGGGAGGTAACTCGTTGTGCGCCGCTTTTCCCCATCTATTTTTCTATTAACCATTTATCGCACAGGGGGTTCAAATCACAGTTTGGACAATAATTTTTGAAAATATAAATCTAGATTTTATGTAATGAGTGTAGCGAGAGAATTTTCGAAAAAATCCATTTCTTCACCGATTTCGTTCAAATTTGAAATATATATTTACGTTACTCATAACAAAAAAACAATATACGGCTGCAAAAAGCTAGGTTTTTATTTAAAAAAATTATTGTCAAACCTGTGATTCGAACCCTTGTGATTAATCGTCTTGTTTCGTTTTGGAATTTCAAGGAACGACGCTATATATAGCAAGTGTATAAATAATTAGACGCTCATCCCAAATCCAACTATTTTTCATTTCTCATCTTATGACTACTTTATGACTATGACTCTGTATAGCCATTTTTCAGATGCCTCTGTGCCAGAAAAATATTTATGAGCGTGAAGTAAAGGCAGAGTACAATGACATATCATGAGAATTGCGATACATGTACCTTGTTATTATCATCAAGATTATCGACAATCATACACTGGTACGTTCCACATCTGCTTCTATTGTATTTTGCCCGCACACAAATGAAACTAAATATTGAATATGTTTGAAATCAAGACCTATAGTAAACTACACTTATATATGCAGGCTCTTGAAGGTAGGTTTTATTGAAATAACACATTCTATATATCAATGTGCTTTGTGTATTATACGGACCGGTGAAAAAAATTATCTTTGCCGGAATGTGTATCATTTCGAGGCAATTACACCAAAGCGGCATTGAGAGATCGCTGCCAAACTACCGAGA